AATGGAATCAAGGCCGAAGGGTTGCAATATCCATAATGCCGAGCCTAAGAGTTAACAACTCATGGCTTCTGGATACTAAAACAAAGCAACAAACCTGTTTAAATATATCAGCATACATATAGGCAGATCCATCCATCCATCTACCATTGCATCTATCTACGAACGTAGCCATCGTCCCGCCCATACATCTACCCACACCATTTATCCCACCATCCACTCAATGCTTTTTTTCACCGCTTCCTTCCATTCTGGCTGTTACCAGCTTTGCACTTGGGCTCGACTAATACTTTGTATAAAAATCACCCCTTCTGTCTCTGATAGCTAACAGTAAGAGAGAAGCACTGTGTTACTAGACTCATGTTTTTACCTCATCTCATATTTGGTCGATCCATCAACCATTCCATTCATCCACTAATACAGTCATCCATCATTCCATCCATTCATCTACCCACCCATCCATTCATCTACTAATACAGTCATTCATCATTCCATCCATTCATCTACCCAGGACACACTCACCCATTCTGTTTCCCCATCTATCCCTTCATCGCTCTCTTACATTCTGGTGGTTACTAGTCTTACTCTCAGGTTGACTGATTACTTTTGTATAACAAGCATCCTTACTGTCTCTATTTGATAGCTGACAGAAAGAGAGAAGCATCTTATCACAAGACCCTTATTTTTACCCGATTCTATATATTAGCAATTCCATTCATCAACCAAAATAGCCATCCTTTACCCATCCACTCATCTACCCGCCCATCTCTATCACCACCTACTCGCCCACTCACCTCACCATCCAACCTAGCCATTTTTCCATGGCTTCCTTACATTCTGTTTTTTAACCAGTTCTGCACTCGGTTCGACTGATACTTTGTATAACAATCACCCTTACTGTCTCTATTTTATAGCTGACAGTAAATGAGAAGCATCGTGTCTTGAGACCCTTGTCTTTACCTGATTTCATATATCAGCCGATCCATCCATCCACGAGTATAGCCATCATTACGTTTATTGTGATTGATTTTGTAAAGCTAACAAACTATTTGTTGTTTCTTACCAACTTTTTCTCTTCCCTGTAATTTTCTACTCCTTTTTAAAAACGTAACTAACATTGGAAGACGAGCTATTCTTGCAGCCAGGAACAAAGACGTCTACGAACTTAACAGTGTTATTCTGTCTAAGATTCCAGGCGAGGCAGTCACATACAAGTCGGTCGACACTGTTGTGGAGGCTAATGAAGCTGTTAATTATCCAGTAGAGTTTGAATTCCCTCGATCTGCCAGGGATGCCACCACACATACTGCACTTAAAGATCGGCGTACCAATTAACCTGTTGCGAAACATCAACCAGCCAAAGCTGTGCAATGGCACACGGCTTGCTGTAAAACGACTACTAAGCACCATCATAGAAGCTACAATTTTGACGGGACCTTTCAGAGGTGAAGAGGTCCTAATTCCCCACATTCCTATGTTTCCATCGGATATGCCATTTCAGTTTAGGAGATGGCCAGTTTCCTATTCGATTGGCTTTTGCAATCACTATCAACAAGGCCCAGGGCCAATCTTTAGAGTTGTGTGGTGTAGATCTACACACTGATTGCTTCTCACATAGGCAGTTATATGTCACATGTTCTAGAGTGGACAAACCAGAGAGTCTTTATATCTTCACAGACAATGGAATTACAAAGAATATTGTATACCCACAAGTATTATGACATCAAATATATTAGACACGTAAGACATGTACGCTTTATCCTAACTTTTTTTTTCATTTCACCATTCTGCGCCCAGCAATGCATGGCCGGGTACGGCTAGTTCCTTATAAAAAGTTTGTAGGAAAAAATATTCATGTTGCCAATTTTCACTTGAGGACGAACATTATATAAATACTGATATTTCTACAAGCAATGGCATGATCAGTTGTAGTAGTGGGACCAGTACCAAAACTGACATTCTCAGTGCCCCGCCCACTCACAGCGAGTCAAAAATAAAAAATCAAAGACCTGTACGACACTGATGACGATCTAGATATAGAAGAATGTGATAAGGCATTCAGTTATCCTAAATATGATGTCGGAGGGTACAGGATTATTGACCTGAAAATTCTATGTCACCAGATTTCATCGCAGCTAGCTTGTGCATTTTGTTACAACCAAGTCACACAAAGACAAGGATTTGGTAGTCAATTTGAATTTGTGTGCAGCAATCAAAAACTGCAAAAGACAGGCCATTTTTCATACCAGCCCCAAATTAGTGTCAACAACAGCTTACAAGTATTCCCAATAGGTGAGTTTTGTTTTTGCATTAAGTGGCCGTTCAGACTTGCAAACATTTTGTGGAATAATGAATCTTTTGCCGCCTGTCCAAAGAGTCCATATAAACTAATAAATGATAGGAGAGGAGTGTTTTTAGCTTCTCTCAGGCAGCCAGCATAAAGAAATCAGCAGAAATAGAATTTAAATTAGAAGAGAGTCAGTTGATGATTGCCGTGATACTGATGTGCCCGTAGGTGAAACCTGGATGACCCTAAAGAAATAGGGGTAACCCTACTCACTGGCTGTGTCACAGTAAAGGTTACTGATTCTGGTACACTCTAAAGTGTGCAAATATTGTGGCTACTGAAACATTGGTTCTCCTTAAAACAACGGCCACTTATTATGGAGTACGCCGAAGTTCAGTCCCATGGCCGCATTGCAATTATGGAGTGGACAAGAGGGAACGACACAAATGACGTAATTACTGTGTGTTGGCGATAGACAGAGTGAACCGATGAGGTAATTACTGTGTGTTGGCGATAGATGCAGTTGAAAGATTTAAAGCTGAAATACACAGGCTTTATTGGAGGCAGTGACACGAACAGCTTCAAAACAGTTTCTTATTCACAGCCATACAGTGAAAGGCCTGTAGTAAACTTAAAATATGTCGGGCTCATGCAAAAAAGAATGATTACCCAACTAGGCAAGATAAAAAATGTTAGGGGAAAGGGAAAGAAACTGTCAGATGTGATGAATATTGATGGAAAGGAAAGGCTTATAGACAAACAGATTTACTCTATTCAGAAATATGGAAATGCTATTAGAGGTAATAAGAATGACTTAAAAGGAATGTGTGAGGCTGTCTGGGCGATATATGTTCACAAGCTCTCGGTGTACCAAAAGCCTGTTCACACAAACTCTACCAAATTAGTTGGTGCCCATATAAAACAGCTGTTGCCACCAAGAATTATAAACATGAAAATATCCTGCCTGTAGCAATTATGGATGTCATCAGACCAGTTTTTATAGATCTGTCTAGCCCTGACGCGTTGAGAAAATGTCTAGATGGCTACAACCAAAAAGCCAACAAATCAAAAAGCACAATATTGCGAAAAACACAAATCCATGGATTGGTTACTGTTGAGACTGAAGTTGGCACTACAATCCTCATTTTCAACGATGGAGTAAAAACCCTAGAAGACCCCCCTTGTGGCAATGCAACTATTATGTAGTTTCTCATCAGAACTTTTAATCCTAAACATGTTACAACTGAAAAACTCAGAAATAAAGTAACAAAAGCATCACTGGAAGCCAAGACCTTATTTAACGGAAAGTCACTGAGGTAAATATCTAAAATCACTAAAGATAGGGGACTTCCGTTTTCAAAATGGCGGACAGCAGCTGTGTTTATTTTCACTGGCTGTCAATTCTCACAGATTGTTCTGTCTCATAATCATGGACTGTTATTTTATGCGCATTTCCAACGCAGGATATTATGTGTTTTTTGTGGGAACAGCATGTATTGTGGTTGTGCTGTGTCGGGATAATGACTGATAGTCTTGGCAGCCTCGGCCACGCTTCTTTCGCAATGTTTTGATCGCGGAGGTCCACTCAGTAAGACAGAATATCATCAGCAGGGGACTGCAACTGTCTAGAGAGCAAACTCTATAAAAGCTGTCCCCAGAAACGGAATGTGTCAACCATATATTTGGTGGGGAGGAATCGACACATACGGTTAACTCAATGGCCATGGCCACTAAAGAGAAAGTAACATCATTTGTTGTAAGATTTTACAATTGTTATTACTTATTTAGCTATAAATTTATATATATATATAAATATTTTTGTACACGCGAAAACTAAATTTTCACTTGAAAAGCCTTATTATCTCACATGTATTTAGCGAACACCAGAGATATCTATTTCACATGCTAGCTTAATGATATGGTCATCGTGTAAAAAAATTTTGAGTCCTAGCTTTAAAATTGAATTTTTTATTATCTTTTTCTTAGGCATCTGAATCACTGCTAGTACTGCCCCCTAAGAGAATGGTGGGTCTGTTCTTTTATCATGAAAAAGGGGTCCGGAAAACCACATAAGTAATTTACAAACAATAATAGGACACTAAATCACCTCTTAATTTTAGTAACAATAATCAAATGTCTGCCAACTCCAAAACATAGATTAGCTGCACTACCTCTAGTGCTATCTTTGAGAAACACTATGCGGCAAGGTCCCAATCTCTTTCATTCTACAACTCTTGAAGCACTGAATAATCTTTTCTAAATCAGTCATCATGGAAACTGAAACATGGCACATTTAGGGCTGGAATGTGAAACAATTTCACTAACCTTTAAACCCCAAAATGCACAATTTAGAAATACGTTATAAAAGACAATTCAAGTTTGTGATAAAACAACCACAAAAATGCACATAATGTGCAAACACTGAAAAAAGCTCTGACTACAAACCAGTAAATTTGTTGTCATAATAATACACATCAAAAACGAGTCTGCTCACAACAGAATGCTTGACAATAACCAGACAAGATTACAGACCTAACTTGTTTCTGCTGGTAATCTACCGAAACATACAGAATTTACCTTCACAGTTTCGCTGTTACAACACAGGTCTACTGCACAATAGCCTTTCAAGATTTCTAAATTCACTTTGTCCCCAACACCACACTGCTGATTTCAAGTAGATATCACACAAATCATTCACTGCATCACGTTAAGATTTTCACGATGCCTCTTCCACACCTTGGGAATTCAGCGACACATCAACAGCTGCGGATAAGATACTTTGAGGAATACTGTCTGACTGAAGACATCCTGGTTCCAATACTTCTTCTGATTGTCTGCCATCTGTTTTATCATCACACACCATAACACTATTAGCTTCCTGCGGCAAGAAATTCTTAATGTCAGATATTACCTCATCTGCTGAATCACATTTCTCTGCTGATCCAATCACTACACTGGGCAGTGGATTTACAACACATGTTTCATGCTGTTCATTCTCAACTGGTTTCATGACACACTGGTCATTTTTCTCTTGTTTAATATTTTCACACTGTTCATGTTTCTCTGGTTTTCCCTGTTCAGCACTGCCCAGTTCTGCAGCAGCCTCTGCACTTGTCCTAACCTTTGGTCCCTGTTGTAATTCCTGCAAGTTGTACTTTCGAAGCCTGGTGTATGCAGGAGCAATCCCTAAACAACAGACTGTGCAAACCACTTCCACCAGCACAGCAACGTCAAAGTCGGTCCATGAAAACTTCACAGCTGGATTGATTTCAGACACTGCCTTAGTCACAGCAGGAATTACACTAGTTTTCCCACATGTATTTGCATTGTTATTTCTTATTTTAAACAACACAGTATATGAAGATGGGGTATCTACATTGTCTTTACAAAAAATAGGCTGTAAAACGTCTTTAGCGAGCTTTTCTATATCAGAAGTGTGGGCTTTACATGTGCCAATAATAGGAAGCATACGTGCTGCATACCGAGCCTTCTTTAGCCCCTTCTCGGCGATATCCTCCATAAGTCTTACAACCATCTTAACTGGATCGTCGATGGTGGTACGTATAAACACACAATTCTTTGCCTTGGTCTGGACATTCTGAAACCGTTTCTGTGTGGACGCAGTGTTTTTAATTGCATCCACTTCTTTCTTGAGAGCCTTTTCAACATCCTCACACTCGCTATCTTCTTCACCGGATGTTACATTTTTTCCTGAGCTTTCAGCAGCCTGTCAAGAACAAAAAATTTATAAAAAGAGAAATTAATAATGAAAGCAATAGTTTGTTAATTTAACTGTTTACTGGCAAACTGTCACCTTGATGCAGTGCCAAAAGCAATTGTGAAAAATTAATTCTTCTTTGCGCAGTGAGCTCCAGCGGAAAGATCTGGTTGTTCATCAACTTCTGGACTCCAGTCCTGTTCCAGAACCTGAGTGTTGCATGCACATCTGTTTTACAGATCTGACACCTGTGTCTGCCTCTCAGGCAGATGCACTATGATTTTGAAGGAAGCTCCTAATTAGTCGACTCTTATATGACATACTTTTGGGTAGACAGTGAGTCTATTCTTACTTGCCCCACAATGGGGCTCCAGAACCCACAAGGAGAAAAATAGTTTCATTTGTAATCTAGTCTGTAAATGTTTGCCTTTTGCTTCTGTAAACAGATAGAAAACTAACCACTCAAAAGCTTTTTTTTTTAAAGCAGTGGGTGAATTTTAAAGGAATTTTTAGAAGACAGGACTGAATGGCTAATGAAATGGTCTAATATAGCTTAAAATCTTTCTTCTTTTAGTATTCGTCAGCTGTATACTCTGGTTAAAATGTAGACTTTGGTCTCGTTCCAGATCTGCGGTTATGCTTGGTCATCTGTTTTACAGACCTGGCTTATTTGTATGCAGACTGTTGGTCCTTGACCTCGCGGAGTCAAATGTACTTCAACATTAAAATAAACTAGTTGCCTCTTAAACATGCGTATTGATGGACAGTGAGTTAATTAGTTTTCCCTCCGCAACTGGGTTCCAGAACCCATAGGGGGAGATTTGTCCGATGAAATCAACCCCATAATCCTTATTTTTTTAGCACCAGAAATGTCTTATCTGTCAGAGAAAGGAAAATAGCTCAAAGCCCAACCCGTTTTTACCAACACCCCAGCATGAGTGCATACAGCTATCTAAACACTCCAAAGAAAGAAGTCTGGTGAGGAATATCAAAACATCACTTCTTTCATATGTTTGCGTGATCTGATATTTTAACTTTCGTCAGTACCGCCGCATTAATATAAGCCCAATACAATTCTTATGCTTCCAATCAAAACAAAATCATTTTAATGAGAGAAAAAAAGCAAGCAGTAGAACTGGTGGATTCCCTCACCTTTTCTTGTCCATATAAAAGATCAGCATATTCATTCAGAATATTGTAGCTCTCCTTCACTGCACTGCTTTCATTGCTGTTACACATCACCAGAAAGCCACGGATGCCTGGCTCCAGCACATTGGCTCCACCTCGAGAGCGCTTGCCTCCTCCATAAGCACTTTTCCTGTAAAATGCTTTAGACCTTTTCTGTCCTCTTTTTTCACCGCCTGATGACATCTGTGAACACATTGCAAAGTCTTGTCATAACAGCGCAGTTTCATTAATCATCATTCTCTGAATGGTAAGCTGCTTTATAAAGGACACGGTGAAGGCTCTCCCTGACATCAATGGAAACCAATAACCACACTCAAAAGTCTGCTGGTTTAGGAGGGAGTAGGCACAGGGTTTCTGCAGTTCTTAACATGCAGAGGAAAAGATAAGGCAGACTTTAAAATCTCATTGTAACTGGCACCATCAGCATGGGAACTGTTTGTTGGCTACTGAGGAAGGAGACTGAGCACCTGTAAAAATGACTAAAGTGCAACAATGGGAATGCTTAATCTGTTCATTCCTGACATGAAAAATTAGCGCCCAAGCCTAGACGTATCCTATCGTATAAAATCAAACAAAAATTCCAAGCTTAGTCCTTTTTAGCCGCCTGATGGCCTGCTTTTTCAAGGACGATTCCTTTGCTATCTTATTTATTTATCTTCCTTGTGGTGAGCAATTACACCTGAGTTTGTTCATTCGTTGCCTAAGTTCTGGTTTTGATGGGTCCTGGTTCCTGTTTTAGTTGGCTATCCGCTAGCTGTTGCACTGTTCATCTGTGTTAGTACCAAACAGTATAATAAATGTTCAAATAGTCCATAAATTAGACATGCTGCTAGAACATCTAACAAAAGATTAATTTGTGTACAAGAACTTTTTTCTCGTATAATAGATTAAATGCAGTGACAGTATGAAGTTACTTGATGTTCTGATTTATTTCAAGGTCTTGTAACTTTTCTGTGCAATTGGAGATGCTCTATCCTATGACTTTCCTTTTGTTGTCTGATACTGGGTTGTAGCCCAGTCTCATGTTTTCTGTAAATTTTTGAGCATCTTGAGTGACGTGAGTGACATATTTGTTCATCTCTTGCAGGTGACATATTTGTTCATCTCTTGCAAGCTTCAGCCACAACATTTATGTCCTCCTCTAGCCTTCCTCCCAGATGTTCTACTGTATAAAGTCTCATATGCAGTTTGGACTGACTGCATTCTTAATAGATGACTGAACCATTTCAATCTTTGAATGTCAATATAATCCAGACATGGCCCTACTCCAACTTAATCTCTAATGCTGGTATTTGTAATCCTGTTTCATCTAGTGCAGTTAGTGACCTTGCAGAGACAGCGCATTTCACATGTAGTTATTTTTGTTGTTCTGGTGCCCTACTCATTGTCCATATTTGGCGCTGACAACATAAAGTAGGGATAAAGATGCTTAATCATTTCTTGTTTTGCTGATAGGGAGACATTTGGGTGTCTAAGCAGTGGAGCTAACTGGCAGGTAACTGGAAGGCATCTGCTTTATGTATTCTGGCTTCTATCTATCTACAGAATGGGTAGAAAGCATTCGAAAGTCGCAGTTAACCATCATCTGGATCTATACACCTAGGTACGCAGGAGTACATGGTAATGAAAGAGCTGACCAGCTAGCAAGAAAGGCACCAATGCAAATGGGAAGAAACACAGACAGAGCTGATAGCAAGAATGTGGTATGGACTATGTTGTGGGATAATGGCGAATCTCTGATGCTAACACCACTGCGTGACCAGAGGTGGGAGAAGATCTTTTCATTTTCCCAAACACCTTCTCGATAGAGTTAAATGTTAGTGTTAGAGAAAGAGAAGATGATCCCAGCCCAAAAAATGAACTGAAAACTATTTTATAACTAAAGTTAACTTTCACCATCATCAGGTGCCTTGCCGACTGGCGTGGGCGATCATGCCTCTCCGTGATCTAGCGATCTCCTGAAGCATGTACAGTTCCTGTGCCGACACACAAGACAGTCAAGCATCTTCTCTTGTTGTCTTCCTCTATCCCTCCTTCCACAGATCTTTCCAGTGGTCACAACATTTTCTACTATTTTCCCTCTTCTCATAACATGGCCGAAAAATGATGACTGTCTCCGTCTGATGTCTGTGATAAGTTGTCCGGCTCCAGCCTCTTTCATTACTTCTTGACGTTCTTGGTTGCTCTTTTTTTGACTGTCCAAGGTATTCTAAGCATTCTTCTGTAAAACCAAATCTCTGAGGCCTCTAAAATTTGTTTGGCCTGCCTAACGGACCGATTGTCCAGGATTCACATCCATATGTTAAAACTGGATGTATGTAGCAAGCAAGAATTCTTTTTCATTTTCTCTCAATGACAAGGATATATTGCACAAGACAAAAAGATTTAACTTTGTTAAAAAATTTAATAAAAATTAAAAGTGTCAGCTATAAGAAACGCTCAAAATTCACTGGTACTAAATTATTTCACACTAAAATAGTTACCTTTGTCAGGGAAGTACACAACTATCGGTGACTATCAATGATCACACGTGTGTTTCGTGGAGACTTACTGGCACTGCGGCTCCAACAAACACTGTCAAACTGTCACTGCCCACGGCTTGGCTTGCGGTTTAAAATACAGGGTGGAAATGCCAGGTGCCACACCACGCGATATTTCAATTACAATTTATTTTTAACATGTTGAGCCATTTACAAGATTAAACAGTCTATGGTTAAGCACCAGCAGTAGATCAAAATTAGAATTTTGAGAGCATAGCTCTTCCCTGTAGCAACATACGGATGTGAGTCGTGGACTATCCCAGTCCTTATGGGAAAGAATAGGGGCTTTTGAGCAGGAATGCTATAGAAAGATTATCAGAATATCTTAGACAAAGAAGAGGAGAAATACTGACACCTTGAAAGATCTGAACATCAAGGAAGATTGCCTAATAAAAAGCATCCTGTCTCGGAAGCTGAAATATTTTGGTCACATCAAGTGCCACAGCGGATTGGAAAGAATTAAAGCAGAAGGCATGGTACCAGGAAGGAGGGGCAGGGGCCGACCAACACAAAGATGGGCACATGATATAAGTGACTCCTTGAGTATGAAAGTACATGAGACGGGAGAACTGGTGAGAGACCGAGTTTATTTCAGGCAGACCGTGATGAGAGCGACGTTCTGCAAAGGACCTGCTACATGATGACGATGAGCCATTTGCACTATACCTCGATTTCTTTTCTGCCTTTCTTTCTTTTTTTCTCTATTATCTCCAGTGGAGTATAGGCCCTTCAAGTAGCTTACGCCCGATCGTATTATCATTTGCTTTCGCATGTTTAAGGTTTAAACAACGGATCAACATCATGGCACAAGGGTAGTAAACTCATAAAGGCTCCGATCTATTTCTAACTCAAGCTTGAGTCCGAAGAATCTCAGCGCAGCTCATCAACGGGGATCCTGAAATACTTTGGGTGGATTTTTAACTTCAAATTTTGCCAGGGCAACGCCGTTATTCCACTCTTTTCGATTTCCAACTGCAAGAGACTTTTTACGTGCGTAACAATACACACAGGGAGTGTCTAAGGGCTCTGGACGCCACTCGAAACACGTATATTATAGCATTATACCACCTCATACCCTACCATTTTGTTGTAGGTACATCGGGTTTCTTCTTCTTCGATCCTTCTGTCAGAAAACTTATATCAGGAGGCCCGTAGCCTTTATGAAAGCTATCGTGCAACCTATATCCTCTAGTGTACCATACAGTTTTGTCTTCAGTGTGGTTGGAACAGGCCAGATTGCGTCTCTGTTGTCAGCATACAGTTGACAGTGTTGGGGCACATGCTCAGCATTTTCGTGTGCCACGCTGCAGGGGCACGTCTCCGTATTTCCTTCACCGAAAAATTTGAACATATGTTGACGAAATCTGTTGTTCCCAGTCCTTAGTCTGAATATAATACACCATCGGGTTTAATGGCTCCTCTGCCTGTAAAAAGGATGTGCACGCAACATTCAAGTCATGGAACAAGACAAGAAGTGCACTAACAGCCTGGACTTTCCCCCGGAGTTCATCTGGATAACAATTCGACCTCAGAACATTCATGACAAGCCCATATTACCTCCGCTCCCCCCCCCCCATCCCCAACGCCAGCAAAGAGTCTCCAACCTCATGGCATTCGTCAGCTGGTTAACTACTTGTTTTGCCTTTCCCCCCGAGTTTTCGGTGGCGCCCAGAGCCCTTAGACACTCCCCGCTGCAACATTCTCTCCATATGCTGGTTTTCAGTATATTTCATTTTATTTATCACTTCCCTCAACAGTCCAGATATACCGCTGCCTTGTCCAGTTGCAGTACATCCCCCCTTCCCACCCTAAGTGATACCAGTCCAGCCAACCTATCTGTCTGCTTATTCCCAAACACGCCTGAATCATCCACCCACAATATCAATGTGACTTTCACCTCTGGATTGATGCGACCCATTTCATTCGAAGAATCCCCCACCAGACTGCAATATTATCAAGCCAGTATTGCTGAAGGAAAGCAAGAGGGCTATGTAAGTAGGAAAAACAACGGGTAGGTGGGTGGGAAATAGAATTATATACAAGCATACACTACCCGCTTAACGGTTATAATGATGATGGGTTTTTGCGTGCTAGTGCCTCCACGATCTTAATAAGCAAATAGTTATTTTAATTTTAAAATGATAAAGAGTTTCAGAGTTCTTATATTACTTACAAATCAATTCTTCACCCCTACTTCGGTATTGGAACACTTCTCTGGCTGCTGAAGATGAGGACGTAGCATGAATGACAACACACTGAGTGCTGTGATTTCACTTCTTGACTCAACTCAATTCAACCCTTACTACCTCTCCCAGCAAAGACTGTGGATCTGGCCCAGGGGATCTACATTGCGAGAGAAGCTATGGGAGACCTTAAACGCACAATCCTATTTTTGACCCAGACGGGACTCAATGTGTAGCATGACTAATGTCGAACGCAGAAAAAAGAAAAAAAAATCAACACTTACACGATTGCGGTTGCAACAATGGTTTAGCCGTTATGGGTGCCCAGATGTTAACTTCCTTGAAGATTGAAAATTTACATTCACAACCCGTCAACACAACATGAATGCTTGTGTGTACCAATGCTTCGTCAAGCCCTGGCTTCATTACCTCTACACACTCCACAACGACTCTTCGCATAAATAACTCACGCATAATTTGCTGTGTATTCGGACCCAGTCAGTGCAGTATGCTTATGTTTTGCTGTCATCACTACTGCTTTAATCAGAAATCAGCTATGAAATGGCGGGACTTCTTCTTCTTCTCTTCCACCTTGTACCTCATCGAAGTGTAGGGGGGAGATGTAATGTACGTTGATGAGCTCTGTCAAGAGCACTCTTAAGACTGATGTTCATTTCTGTTAAGCTGTTCTTAATGCCATCACTCCATATTTTCTGAGGTCTTCCACTTGCGCTATACCCGGTGTAACGTTTTAGTGTGGCTCGCTGTGGCAGATAGATAGTACCAGGGCATTCTTGTTAGGTGTCCAAACCACTTTATTTGTTGTTCTTTGATGACTTGTAAGACTGGCTTTATTCCTAGCATTCGTCTGATTTCATGATTTCGTATTCTGTCTTTCCTTGAAACTCCTGCAGCTCTTCTGAGGCATTTCATCTCTGTTGTCACAATTTTACGTTCATTGGAGGATGTAAGTGTCCACGTTTGGCATTGATGGCATAGTGTTGGCCAAAAAATAGTTCTAATAAGAATCACTTTAGTACTCAGAGGTATCTGCTTGTGTGTCAACAGGGGAGATAGTTGCCCTATTACTTGATTAGCTTTGGCACATCTGGAGCTAATTTCTCTGTCCAGTTTTCCGTCGGATTGCTCCCAAATACTTAAATTCCTCTGTTTGTCTCAGGAAGTAGTTTTTTACTTTTATTTCTAAATTGTCTTTACGTCTTCCTATCATCATTGTCTATGTCTTCGTAGTGTTTATTTTCATATTATATTCCTCCCCTTTATTACTAATTTGATTTAGGTGGTTCTGTAGGCATTCCGTTTTTTTCTGCTATGAGTACCTGGTCGTCGGCGAATAGTAATTCTGTAATATCTTCTTCATGATTAAAGTTCGTTTCGCTACATATGGTATTCATGTATGTTATAAAAAGAAGCGGCGATAGTACACAGCCCTGACACACACCAGAGTTCACTATAAAAGTTATTGACAACCCTGCCTTCGATCTTATGTAGCATTTTTACTACGTGTGTACAGACCTTTGCAAATATTAATGAGATGATTGCTGATTCCCTTTTTTCTCATACATTCCCACAACATATTCCTGTCGACTTTATCAAAGGTCTTTATCTTGGTCTATGAATGTCAACAAACATGTCTTATCATGTGTTTGTTGACATTCATAGACCAAGAAAAAGCCTTTGATAGATGGCGGGACGGCGTTCAGTTAAAAATCAAGTCTTTTTAAGTAAGGTACCTAATGCACGTGTGAGTACCAAAGGATTTAACCCTTTCGCTGCTATGGACGAGATAACTCGTCTGCCCGGCAGACTGCTAAAGACGAGATAACTCGGCTGCAATTTTCTGTGCCCTCACTGCTAAGGACGAGATATCTCGTCATCGTCATTTTTTTACAGATTGCTAAGAACAGTGATTCTTAGGGGTGAAATAGCAATATTGATTACCTTAATCTGATCAAACTGACCCGTTTACATGCAATTAAAACCCTTATCAAGTGAGTTTAGGCGTATTTTGATGCATTTCACGTTACCCTGTTTCTTTGTTACCATAGAAGCATGGTCGGTGAACGGTAATTTTTTTGCCCTGAAATATATTTCTGGTTTTGCGTTAGTCTACATTAAAAAAAAAAAAAATAATAACAAGAACATTTGTTTAAATAAAGAAGAATTAATAGAGTTTCTTTCAAGGAGTAGTGGTAAAGATGACTTTGAAACGTGTGAGTTATATAAGCTGGGTTATCTTCGCGGCACGCCGGCGGACACGTGTACTTCTGGCTGTGAACAAGACTGACCAGCGACCATATGACCTAGCTATATACATCCATTGGATTTGAAACGGATCCGAAATGATCCAAAAAGAAAAAAAAGAATATATGGTCACATACTGACATGATGATTAACATAAGTTAATGTCAATAATATACTATAAACTAACATAATTGTGTTTGTCTATTATAGTGGTCTTTTTTAAAATGAAAATCAATGTGAATCTCTAGTGTAGTCGGTATCACGTCTGCCTTACAATCGAAAGGTCCAGGGTTCATCCCCTACGAGGCGTTTTTTTTTTTTAAATTATTTTAAATGTAAATTTTTTATTTATGCTCTTAGCATTTTCGGCAACAGATCACCGAAGTAATAATTAATTAAACATCCTGTCACGTGCGTTCAGGTGGATTTAGATGCTTTACACGTTATCCTGTTCCTTTGTGAAGCGTGGTTGGTGTACTGTGCCTTTGTTACATTTCAATATTGTGTCTTTGGATAAGTCTATATTTCCTTCATACAAAATGGCAAGACACTTTGTTAAAGTTGACGAAGAACTGATGGAGTTTCTTTCGAGGAGTAATAGTGAAGATGACTTTGAAATGTGTAGTTCTGATAGTGAGCAGGACGATCTTGCTGTGCCATCGACATCGACGGGACAAACCAGCGTGGCCGAGAAAAGGTTGTTTGCGTGTCCGAAGTCCTCATCATCATCGGAATCAGAAGGTAGTGATGATGAAGTGCCATCAAAACGACATAAAATTGATCAGCTATCCTGGTCTTCCAACGACTTGCGACCCGATGTGCATACATTTGATGACTCCAGCTCTGGCTGTCTTTTAGCTGCTGTGAATAAAAAACAGCTCAGTGCAGTGCTTTTTTTTTTTTACTTTTTTTCACTGAATCGCTGGTGACTTTCATCGCAGATGAATGTAACGGATTCAGCAAGTATGTTATTGAAAAGGGACCTGCTACCGTAAGCTCTCGTCTTTGCAGATGGACAGATACAGATTTGGACGAATTATTATTTTTTTTTTTTTTGCTGTGTGTCTACTCATGCCCAGAACAAAGAAACTCAAAATAAATGAGTACTGGACCAAAGACTGTTTGCTGAGAACGCCAATGTTTGGTGAAATTATGTCGAGGGACAGATTTTTATTATTGTTAAGAATGTTGCATTTCTCGGACAATAATGCTGATGCAGGTGGCGACAAACTGTTCAAAATTAGACATGTGATCGACAGTTTGCGTGCATCGTTTCGTGGGGCGTTTTTGCCTTATCGAGATGTGGTTGTTGACGAGTCGCTACTTCTTTTCAAAGGAAGGTTGTCATTCAAACAGTACATTCCGTCAAAGAGAAGTAGATTTGGTGTAAAAACTTTTGTAATGTGTGACTGCAGAACTGGGTATATTTTAGATTTCATTGTGTACACTGGTGTCAACAGTGACATTACTGTGTCAGGTTTAGGGAAAGGGGCTGATATTGTTTCAACTTTGCTGGCCCCCTATCTACAGAAAGGCCCCAGACTTTATGTAGATAACTGGTACACAAGCCCAGATTTGTTTATGTGGCTTCATGGTCAGGCTACAAATGCGTGTGGTACTGTACGTAAAACAAGAAAACACATGCCCAAAATGGAGCAAAAATTAAAGAAAGGAGAAGTTAGTTCCAAGTCTGCTGCATGTTTATTAGCTATCAAATGGTGTGACAAACGAGAGGTGTGGATGCTGACAACATGCCACGATTCAGGAATGGTAGCAACAGAAAAAATAGACAGGAAAACTGGGTTAACTATTGTAAAGCCACAATGTGTTGTGGATTACAACAAATGCATGGGTTCAGTAGATCGTACTGACATGCTTCTTAGTTCTATAGAATCTATTAGAAAAAACTGTCAAATGGTATAAAAAGCTTTTTTTCCACGTTTTAGATCTCTCTATTTTAAATGCACATTCATTATATAAAGCTGTTGTGGGGAAAAACACACCTGTTGCCGAATTTCACTTAATGTTAGTAAGAGAAATTCCACAGAAATATTGCAAGGAAAAGAGAAAAAGTGTGGGAGGACAAAAAAGTGAAGATCTGCCACTTCGTTTAGTACAAAGGCATTTCCCTTCAATAATAGAGTCCGTAACATCGCAGAAAAAATTCCCAACAAGAAAGTGTGGGGTATGCGCAAAAAGCAAAAAACGACGGGAAACCAGATACATGTGCAAGGAATGTGATTTGGCATTGTGTGTCGCACCTTGTTTTGAAATATTTCCCACAAAAAGATATTATTAATAATAATAAAAACCATGTATTTGCTTACTAAAGTGTTTTGTGTTTGCCTTGTAAGTTTGTAATGTTTTCTTTTTGTTAATGAGTTTTCACGGCGTAGAAATAGCGCGTCTGACTTGTTAGCGCAAAGTTCAACCACACGCCTTAAAGGATTTTTTATTTTAGGTGTACAATTTTTACCCCGCGCCGCAATCGCGTCTTCTGCTTTTGAAGGGAAAAACGGTATTCAGCACAGGGGGAAAGATTAGCTCTCGCATGGCTTAGCACAGTGGTTACGTTGGCTGGCGGAGTGCGCAGCAGCGAAAGGGTTAACACACACAAAAAAATACATTTAAAAATATACTTGTATTACAGGAACAATTGAATAATTTACTATAGCTTAGTTGCAACAATTACCTTTATTAAATTTTAGAAGAATTAAAAGGAGAGACTGACAATAAAGTCGAATAATAATATGTTAAACAGAATAATATTCAGTCAACCTGTTAATAATAATATAATGATAATGCACTGTTTGGAACTACTCTCTCTCTCTCTCTCTCTCTCTCTCTCTCTCTCTCTCTCTCTCTCTCTCTCTCTCTCTATCTCTCTAATGAGTAATTTGTTGTGTTAATCACCCGTCGTTTCTCTCTTGTGATGTATAATTTTTGCATTACTCATCTATCGCTTCTCCGTCTATCTGTCTCTCTGTCTCTCTCTAATGTATAATTTGTTGTGTTAATCGTCTGTCGTTTCTCTCATGTGATGTATAATTTGTTGTATTAATCACCCACTATTTCTCTTTCTGTCTCTCTTTAATATATAATTTATTGTGTTAATCATCTGTAGTTTCTCTCATGTGATGTAAAATTTGTTGTATTAATCACCCACTATTTCTCGCATGTATTGTATATATTGTCTCTCTGACCACCGTCCTACCTGTGTTATGATGTATAATTTGCCACACCGATAACTACTCGTTTGCCGGTTGCGATATATAATTTGTTGCACTGTTCCTATTGCTGGTCTTTGTTGAATGTTGAATTTGTTGCACTGATCGTTTCTGTGTCTATTTTTTAATCAGAAAGATGTCCAGAGACATTTGTTTTTGCCCGTCGCTTCAAAATTTGGCAAAAATGCGACACAACATTATTCAATAAATAAATTTGCAACGCGCATATGCACTTCCTTATTAGGGTGATGCTTCTCAATGTAAGATGCAACAGTTTCCCATGCTTTTAGCATTTCTCTTATTTCGCCAGAAGATTGTTGCTTCTCTGTTACCTCCTCCTCTGACAAACTTTCCTCCCAAACTTCTTGCTGTGAAACACAATGCAACTCCATAAGCTCTTGGCTGGTCAGCTCTTGGCTGTGCTCTTCCACAAACTCTTAGATATCACTTTTATCCACCTACAATCCCATGATAGTATCCAAAGACACAATCTAGTTGACTACAGGTTCCACAGGTACTGTCTCGAACCTCTCTAAGTCACAAATCGACAACGCTCTCCGGCCAATGCTACTTCCAAGCAAAAGTTATTTTTCTCTTGGTCACCCCTTCCCCCGCCTTGTCGATCATCTTGAGGCAGGCAACGCCGTTGTCGATTTTCATCTCTTGAGAGTGAGGCAACGACCTGTGGAAGAGTGATTTTTCCTTGCTGGTCCATGGGCTGGAGTAACGGAATGGTGTTCGGAGGCAGAAACTGGATCTAGATGAACTTAAATTCTTCAGGGAGGTCATCTTGCAGGTCTGGAGGATTCAGTACCATATATCACAAAATAACACAAGTTCGATAAGCCAGGTTCGACTGTATAATTTATCACATTGACACTCTTCCACCACCCCACCCCTCTCCCTCCATCTTTTACTGTCTCTGTTGTATAAATGATTACATTGCTCCCCCTTTTGGTCTATGTTGTGATGTATCATTTGTTTAGCTATCACTTCTCGTCACACTGTTGCCATGTAAAGTTTGTTGCATTGATCTTTCATCCTATTTAATTTACTCCTACTATGTATTAATTGATTTATATTGATGTCTGACGGTGCTTCTTTTCTGTAGCTTAAACATCTCACTGCTGGCAAAAATTATATCATTAGTTCAATAATAATTCTTCGTCTGTGGCTTAGGAGGTAACGATCGTGGTTTGCAATGCTGATACACCCTGTCTGATCCCATCTGCAACCCGTATGCAACTTTACCGTATGCAAGAGGTCACGGAAACCCCTTTCAGACGGTATGGCCATAATTATGGATCGGCTTTATCTAGGGTCCCTGGCAAAAGCCAGGGTGGGGCTTCCAAATAACAAACTGCATCCCACGAGGGGAGTACTTGGATATCAACAACGACTAATTAAGGGAGTTTCGCTTAAGTCAGAGTGCATCTGCATGAGAGGCGAGGAATCAAGTGTGCATACAAAATAAACATAAAACAGATGTGCACGCAAGATCTGGAAAAAAGATTAAACTCCATAAATGGACGAACATCCAAAGGTTTCGCCAGAGTTTACAGCCGGTGTACGTTAATAAGAAACAAAAAAACTCTTCTTGCGGGCTACTTTGCAGGAGACCACGTTGAGTTGATTTCAACAATGGTATCACGAGCTGACCGTTAAGTAGGCAAAGGCCGTGCAGTGAACGTAAAACTGCTAAATAATTCTTCAAAAAAGCAAGCAAATGCATGTTTGCAAAATCTTCTAAAGGATTCGCAAATAAAATTTTCATATTCAAAGGAAAATCAGAAACCTACACAACGTTGATGTTAATGATCAATAAATAAAGACACGCATTAAAAAGAGTACAGACAGGCAAACATATGTACAGACTACATTACAACAAAGAGCTGGCGCTTCATTACCACGCTTTTTCGTTGTTTGTATCGTGGAGGCTTTGGTCGTAGTTTTTAGCTGGCATGGACCACCCAGGTATTCGTCGATGTTTCGATCATTAGCACAATAACCTTCAAGTGTTCCTTTATAAGACGCAAACCATTGAACCACTTCCGGATTATGTGGGCAGGCACACTGCAGATATTGGCCGCTAATGACTAGTGTTTCAAGGCTTACCAGGGATGTAAGTTTCTGAGGAAATTCCTTCAGTGAGACGTTGTAAAGGTATAGAAGAGTTAAGCCCGTCAGAGACTCGAATGCCGAAGGAATCTGGGAGTTCCGTCAATTGATTCAGCTTTTCTATCGCGACTAGTCAAACGCGGTAGTTTCTGTCTGTAAACGCAGTTGCTGTTAATGTAAAACCGATTTCAGTTTTGTGTCAGCACCGCTGGACATCGTCTCACTAATGTTAGTTATTGATTATGAGTAAGGTAAATAATTTGAGCAAGCTGGCCAGATTAACTCCAGCTTTGCAACGTCAGGTAGAACTGTTATTGGGACTATGTGTGACGTTGTAAGTCTACTCTGAGTTCCTGAAAAAAAAAAAAGTTGATAAATATTTACTTATCGCAAGGTAGCCAAGCTGCTATATGTAAACGATTGGGTCAGCAGATTTGCCAGGCATCTTCACTAATGTTATTATTGGATTATACTAAAGGCCAATCTATAAAAATAGACTGTTTGGGTATTGAGTTATAAATCTGTCATGCACATCAATCACAAGAATTGTTATGAGACTGGTAACAGTATCCTTAGAAATCATTACCCTCAAAATCGTCGTCGTCGTCGCCTTCTTCTTCTTACGTGTTCCTCTGAAGATGAAAAAGCAGTGTACCATTTTACAACATGGCTGCGATATTTGCACCTTTCGGTCAAAACATTCGACTTCTGCTGGCATTTGTTGCCCTAGTTAGCTCTCCTAGTTAGTTCTGAGGCATACTGCAGTTTAATTGCGGTGTGTTCATCTTTGTGTCCTAGTTCATAGGTAGTGCGCCTGCCCCCGCTCCCTCCCAATCAGGCCGGCACAGAGTAGCCACGTAACGCTAGTTAGCCCTAAAAAGACGACAGTGGTGGACCATAAACATTCCCAACTATCCAATGAGGTTTCCATAAACGTAGAGCCAATAAACATTGCTCCGATTCCTGGCTCATCTAAACCTTAAATTTGGCTTATGACTTGGCTTGGCTGGCTTTGCGACCCCCCCCCCCCCTCCTCACCCCCCCCCCCCCAACAACAACAAAAAGTCGTATCGTTCACCATTTCTGAAGTGGGTGCTTTAGGTTGTAATCGTGACTAAGTTTATGTGGGGGCTACAAAATGGCTTAACATTGCTCGGCCAACCAAGTAGCTATGAAAATATTTCTTGCAATGTTGATGAGATCACAAGAGACAGGCAGACTCATGATTGTTTAGCTAACTTCCTTAGACTGAGCCTCTTATTCATCGCGGGCTACGCCTTTAGTGCCTTTAGAAGCCAACAGGAGGAAGTCTGCAGACTTGGGATTTCTGTTACCCACATAAAATGAGCTCTCTGTTTCTTATGCGTGTTACACTTTTACCTCAGTAGACTTCCTCATTCACTATAGTTTCATATGATATCTCCCACATAGATATCTAGTGGCATTCAGTTTAACAGTATCTGGACAAAATCTAACTAATTAAAAGCCATTAAAAAAAAAACAACTTAATCAACTTAAG